CACGTGCGCGCGCGCACACACACACACACACACACACACACACACACACACACACACATATATTTTTTGAGTTGAAGTCTCAGTCTGTCTCCCAGGCTGGAGTGCAGTGGCCTGCTCATGGCCACCTCAGCCTTGACCTGCTGGGCTCAGGCGATCCTTCTGCCTTTCAAGTAGCTGGAACTACAGGTGACTGCCATCATACCCAGCCAATTTTTTTTTTTTTAATTTATTGTAGAGATGAGGTCTTGCCAAGTTGCCCATGCTGGTCTCAAACCACTGGGCTCAGATAATCTTCTCACCTCAGCCTCTCAAAGTGCTGGGATTACAGACTTGAGCCATTGTGCCTGGTCTAAGCACTAATATTTTAACACATGGTAAAGTTGGAAGTAAGATTTTAGTAGAGCACTTGCAAATTTGGTTGAAAAAGCAGATTAAAACTAAGCCAGGTTCAGTGGCTTAGCCTGTAATCCCAGCACTTTGGGAGGTCAAGGCGAATGGATTGCCTGAGCCTGCAGGTTTAAGACCAGCCAAGGTAACTTGGTGAAACCTCATCTCTACAATAAATAAAAAATTAATCGGGCGTGGTAGCACGCGCCTGTAGTTCTAGTTACTTGGAAGGCTGAGGCGGAAGGATCTCCGGAGCACAGCAGGTGGACGCTGGGGTAGCCATGAGTGTGCCACTGCACTCCAGCCTGGGGGACAGAGTGAGACTCCAACTCAAAAAAAAAAAAAAATTACGGTTGACTTTTTTAGTTAGTTAACAGGATTAACATGTGATCCCTTTACTTTTGTCTGGGAAGAAGGTTGATATAGTCTCAGTTTAGATCTAATTTGAGAGATTTATCATATAAAAACAAACAAACAAACAAACAAGAACTGTAATATCTTTTTGTCTGGGCCACCCCCCTAAGGAGAGACAGGTTAAGCCATGTGGAAACCTGAATGGGCTTCCCAAGTACACACGAAGGATAAGGAGGTGGCGCACGTGGTTTGACTTGCTGCAGCTAGTAGGGCTACCACCAGGGGTTTATCAGGCAGTGGGAGAAGGGGGCCGAGAAGGCTGGAGGCTGGGATCAGATGCCCTGGCCTTTGGCGCTGGCCTTTCCTCCGAAGGTAAAGATGGAGGGCGAGAAGAGTCAGAAGGGAAACTGACGGAGAGTGGAGTAGCAAAAGCAGATTACAAGAGACAGGAGAAGTTAAACCAGCTAGGTCAGCATCTGAGTTGTTAGAGGGAAAGCAGGAATCAGAGCTGTAGAAGGAGTAGGAGAGTAGGTAGGAGGTGAAACATCTTTTGAGGGAGGGGCAGCTAAGTCAGCAGAATCAGTCTCCTCTGATGAACCTATGGGCAGTGGGGTCTGGGGAGCCAACACAAAATGAAGCAAAGGAACAGATATCTGGGGGGGGAGCTAACTCATAAAAGGCCGAATATATGGAATCTCAAGGTACTTATTTCTTTTTAAGCACAAATCAAGCTGCATGGGTGTATTGGGCGTTAGGGAGCCATCGTCTGGCCAGGTTTCGCCACCCCCCAGCTTATATTGTGAAATTTCCCCAAACTCAGCCCTCAGATGAAAGGGTCAGCTAGGGTAAGGTGGGCCAAAGCCGGTGCCAGTGTTGCCAAGCAGTATTGTAGTAAAAGGAAATAGGGATACAGTTGGGATGGGCTCTTGGTTTTAGGATTTGTTCCCGGGCCTTACCCATTCTGATTTCCTGCTGGGCGTTCCCATCAGGTTCAATGGAATCAGCACAGAGGATGTGAGTCACGAGGAAGAGTGTCCTCCCTTCCCTGTGCCCACTGGAGCTCACAGGACATTATGCTCCACCATGACTTGGAAGGCCCAGTACCAGGACTTCTGGCTATTGGGTCCCAGACCCTTGCTAGGAAACTCCCAAGGCAGAAAACCGAGAAAAGCCTGAGAGTCCCAGAAACTTATCCAAGCAGCAAAGCCAGGGGTCCAAGAGTGAATCCAAATATGTGAGCATGTGGGTGATAAATGAGGGATGACTCACTGGAGGCGTAGAAAGGCGTACTGTGCAGCTATAAGGTCCTTTGTGGAGTTGCTTCGCCAACAAAAAGAAAATAGCAAAGAAACCAAGTACTTTGTGTTCCACCCATATGGGTGCTGGCAGTCAGAATGTTCCTCGGGGACCTTCTTACCTCCCCAGGGAGTAGCCCTAGGCAGAGGCCGACAGTTGCCCTCCAAGATTCAGTCCAGTCTACAGGGAAACTCAGAGATCTTGGCTAAAAGGAAGTAAAGATTTAACCTTACTCCCTCACCCTATCGGGCTGCAGCGATCTGATGTTTTCCCCTGGGACCTTAGAGCATGCTTAAGTACTGAAGTGTAGCCTCAGCCAGAGCTTTCAGTTGGCACCAGGTTCTAACACAGTCCACAGAGGGTCACCAGTTAGGAAGTAAGGAAGGAAGAGAGAGAGAGATCTTGGAAATCTCGGTGGAACCTTGAGAAAATGTTAGGGTTTGGAGGGATGCAACACTGCCAGAGCCAGTATGCGCTGGTAATGAGAGATCTGAGTAAAACAAAGATTTGCAACACACAAAAAGATGAAGGAAGAAAAGATTTGTTTAAGAAAAAAGATCAATTCCCCCAGACAGGAAGAGGGTCAGCACTCTAAGATGAGTGTGGCACCATAGCCCACCAAGCACCCGACTTAAATCCTTTCCTCTGGAGATGTTGCAATCAGGTGGATGTGACTGCCGTGACTTCCTTGTTGACCACTTGTGGATGTCTTGAAGACGCTGAGGATGGAGCCTGGGCACCAGGTATTGGGTCACACGGTCTCATCACCTTCAGGAGTTTGTTTTATGATTGCAATGGGCTGATACTGGTCATGCCTGAGAGATATGGGTTTCTAGAAAGACAAAGTCAGCAAGGTTAATCTTTACCTAGAGTATGCATTCCTCCAGGACATAGTTTCTCTTTCTACTTTCTCATCATTGTTTAAGATCTAGGAACAAAGCAAAATGGCTTCCTGCTCTCAGTTCATTCTTTCAGAAGGTTATACTGGTAAGAGAAGTATAAAAGAATGCTATGGGAATGTAGAAAATGGAGAACATACCAAGAGTAGAAAGCAAGAGCCAGGCAAATCATAGAAAAAATTATATAAAGGGTCATGTTAGGGTCACACTCTCAGCGGGGCCTCTAGAATGTTATGTCAGACCCATTGGGGTAAGGTTGTCTGGTATGCAATCCGGTGCCCAAGGTAAGGGAGGGAGCCAAAGCCAGGAAACATGGCATGGCCATAGCTCAAAGAGCACATGGTCGTACCATAGCTTAGCCAGACAATGGCCGCAGTGGCCTGGCAGTGGTGAATGGGTGCTCGTGGTTGAGGCTTTTTAATCATTCCCTTTGATGGGGGAAGGTCATTAAGGTGATTGGTGATCTGCTCCACGTAATCACAGAGGAGCAGGTACTGATGTCAGGTGATGAACAGCAGGCAGATGAGTAGGTTAGTCTAAACCATGAATTGAAAGATTGGGCTGTCCTTGTCTTGCATGTGATGGAGATTTGCCAAGGGGGTGGAGTAGGCTGCCAGCTTGGCCTGCAGTAAAATGTCTGAATCCTTCCTAAAACCTGCCTATTGGAAATTTGTCTATGTCTAACCTGTGCTAGATTCAAAGTGTGTCAATCTAAGCAAAAATGGCTATGCTGAGGCAAAATGTGAACTAAGTTTATTCTAAGTTTCTCAGGGTCCCTCTTTTCAGGTCATATTTCTCTTCCAAATGATGGGTGCCATTTATAACACTCACTTTCAAGTGTTGACCCTCCTTACAGCAAACTGCCTGGAATGTGTCATTATTGTCCTCCACAACCATCTCCTCAACCACTTTTAATTAAAACCTTTCTGAACTAATTTTACCCCCTCAAGGCTAGATTTTCTTTGTTTTTAAAAACAAATAAATACATGTGAAGCATTAGAATACAATAAAATTTTTAATGCATTTTTAACTTTTTTGGACCCTTTAAACTGCTTTTTCTTTGTGTAGCTTGAAAACTTTGTGCTAAAAATTAACTGAACAATGCCTTTATTTAACTGCTTCTTTGAAGCCACAAAAAAGACTAAATCCATTGGTAAACAATTATCTAGTTTTTTTTCATTTAGGCATATATTTCTATTCATATATATTTTTCTTTTTAGATAGGTGCCTTCTATTTAAACCTTGGAGGTGCTCCAGAGGGGCCAGCAGGCACAGGAAAAACTGAAACCACCAAGGACTTGGCTAAAGCTCTTGCTGTGCAGTGTGTGGTGTTCAACTGTTCAGATGGCCTAGATTATCTAGCAATGGGAAAGGTAGTGAAATTACCGAGTTGATAATATTAAATGTTACATACTTATAGCTAGGTATAACTGGATAACCTGAAGCAAATTCATATTTAAACATTATTTGAAGTTGGGTGTGGTGACACATGCCTGTAGTACCAGCTACTCAAGAAGGTCACTTGAACCCAGGAGTTCAAGGCTGCAGTGAGCTGTGATTGTCCCACTGAACTCTAGTGTGGGTGACAGAGTGAGACCCTGTCTCTAAAAATAAAAATGAAAATAAAATAAATAAAATAGTAGAACTGTGTATGTAAAAAATAAAATAATCATTATTTGAATGTGGTTCGTACATTACTTGAACTTTGGTTTTAGGAGTAAAGACATTGTTTTTTATCCTTGGGGGCCTTTTATTAAATTTAACTTTCAACTTTGACTTAAAAAGTGTTTTAAGAGATGATATACTTTCCTAAGAAAAATCACCTACTTTTTTCCTTGTCCTTAGTTTTTTAAAGGATTGGCTTCTTCTGGTGCTTGGGCTTGCTTTGATGAATTTAATCGAATTGAGTTGGAAGTGTTGTCAGTGGTAGCTCAACAGATCCTTTGCATTCAGAGAGCCATTCAACAGAAGTTGGAAGTGTTTGTTTTTGAAGGGACAGAGCTTAAGCTCAATCCAAATTGTTTTGTAGCTATTACCATGAATCCTGGCTATGCAGGACGTTCTGAATTGCCGGACAACCTTAAGGTAATATTTTTAAAGAGTGTGAGTTTGCTAATAAAGAATAATAGCATAATCCATTCAAAATGATATAATTTTTTCCCATATATTTGTGATTTCTCCTTTTCCTTTTTCATTTGCTATAAGGTAAACCTTAAAAAACATTTTTAGACATCCAAAAAATACCAAGTGCATAAAAATATGAAAAGTAATACTGAAAAAATTAGAGTTTAGGAAAAGGTGCTGCATTTGGGGAATAAATTTGAAAATCAGTGTCTTTGGATGGTTATGTTCTGTTTAAAAAATCCTCTTTTATTTTTATTTTTAAATTTTTTATTTTAAAGATGTGGGTACGATTCAGGGTTAGGTATACAAGTGTTCATTATGCAGGCACCCTTGTTGATGAGGTGTGCTCCCGCCTCCCCTGGCAGTTTCCCGCTATTGCCAATCCCTTTCTTATAGTATTATGGTAATTGAAAAATATCCTCTTTTATGTAAATCATACATCTTATTTATTATATACTTCAGGTTCTTTTTAGAACAGTGGCTATGATGGTTCCAAACTATGCCCTTATAGCGGAAATTTCCCTCTACTCTTATGGATTTTTGAATGCAAAACCTCTGTCTGTGAAGATTGTAATGACATACAGACTTTGCTCAGAGCAGCTCTCATCACAGTTTCATTATGACTATGGAATGCGAGCAGTAAAAGCAGTTTTAGTGGCTGCTGGAAACCTAAAACTAAAATATCCGAATGAAAATGAAGATGTACTTGTAAGTAATGAAAATTTTAATAGAAAGATACAATTTTTTGATGAGACTGATAGTAACTATAAACAGGCAACTGAATGGGTTATTTAAGTCTTTTCACATGAGGTTGAAATTATAGTTTGGGGGTTATTTTTTATACTTTATATGAATACAAATACTTTTTGGCTTGATAAGCACAATATTAGCCTTTTATTATAGGGATTCCATAAAGCAATGTAAAAGAAACTTTGACTCTTTGTCGAGGAGTGGAGTGGGGTGAGGTGGGGAGGGGAAAGTGGGGACACAAACGCTGACAATTAACTTATGTTGCACTTTTTTGGGTGATTTTAGCTTTTTCGATCAATTAAAGATGTAAATGAACCAAAGTTTTTATCATATGATATACCTTTATTTAATGGAATAACTAGTGACTTATTTCCTGGAATTAAACTTCCTGAAGCTGATTATCATGTAAGTAAATGCGTTAGAATGACTTATTCTGCACATTAAATTCACCTGATGACTAAATTTTTGCCAAGTTTTATTAAATGAGTGAAATTATTCTATTTGGAGGAAAATCTGCTATTTTGGCCACATTAGTTAACAAGAATAAGTAAATTTTGGTACCTTGTATTCTATGATACTAGAGTTAACCTGTTGCGATTCAGGTTAAAGATAATGTTCTTTGTTAAAGAATAAGTATTTTGTTTCTTGTTTTGTGAGTTATAATACTAGTATTCATACCATAATACTATTGCGTGTTTTATTAGGTAGAAATTAAGGTAGTAAAGTACCCTATAGTTAACATAAGACTTTGTTTCTCAAATTTAAGTAATATCCTGCCTTTTTTTGTTTTTTTTGAGTTGGAGTCTCACTCTGTTGCCCAGGCTGGAGTGCAGTGGCATGCTCATGGCTACCCCAGTATCGACCAGCTGGGCTCAGGCGATCCTTCCGCCTCAGCCTTCCAAGTAGCCAGAACTGCAGGTGCATGCTACCATGCCCAGATAATTTTTTAAAAAATTTATTGTAGAAATGAGGTCTCACCAGGTTGCCCAGGCTGTTCTTGAACCTGTAGACTCAGGCAATCCCCTGACCTTGGCCTTAAAGTGCTGGGATGACAGGCTTGAGCCACCGTGCCCTGCCCTGACTTTTTTTTTTAAAAGAAAACAGTGTTTAATACATACACACACACACACATACACACACACACACACACACACACACACACACACACAAATGGTAACTGCAGGTAGTGATGGAAGTGTTGATTAATTAGATTGTGGTAACCATTACAGTGTATATGTATACCAAATCATCATGTTGTATACTTTGAATATACAAGTACACAATTTTAATTTGTCAATTAGAATTTTTAAATAAAAATAAAGGAAACAAATCACATGCATTTCCAATTTAAATTATAGACATTATAGCAAGGCCTAATTATATACATATAAGTGTCTGCTGCTGATAGTTGTTATATAATATGAAACTAAAATAAAATTTAAAATTAATTACAAACAAAAGAATCTCAGTAAAATTTATTTCATGTAAAATTCCTTACATGAAATAGATATGAGCTTGAAACTGAAGTGTTACTTTATGGCAATTTTTACTGTAAAATGAATGGTAAAGATTCTTTTGAGTTTAACATGCATAAACTACCCTTTATCAGGTGATGATTCAATTCTTCCACCCCTTTAATGATATTACTGCAAAATCTTTTTGTTTGAGCTGTCGTATCATTAAGGCATCACTTTGCTTAAAGGTATCATATGCTTTTTAATTTACTTTTTAAAAATTCTCATGATCAAATACTAATTTATCTTTTGTAACAGTACCAGGTAAAGGTGACTATTTAAATGATTCAGGATATGCTAATATGATTTTTTAAAAATAAAAATGGAAGCACAAAATTTTAACATTTTCCTGAAGAAACCTAGTATTCCTATGACTATAGCAATGGATCCATAGATTCTAGTTTGAAAAATACTACTAAATATGCCATCTTGCTTTTTAATATGTTATATATTTCTTTGTTTTTCCTTTACTGACTTCTTTTTTATTTCAAGTAATGTTTATTTCTCCCTTTAATCTTCTCTATTGACTTTTTAGTTTTACCTTAGTGGTCACTTTACAGATTGTAGTATACATCCTTGGCTTATTACAATTTATGTTGTTAATATTTTATAATTTCACAAACTATATAAGCACTTTAAATGGTATATACCATTTAAATAGCCCATTGTGCTATTATTGTCATATATTTTACTTCTGTATATTTTATAAACACCACAATACACTGCTATTATTTTCTGCTTTATGTTTTAGTACTTGGGGGAAAAAAGTCTTTTCATCTACCCTTTCTAGTGCTTTTTATTTCTTCCTACTTACATGTGTTTTCATCTGGGATCTTTTCTCTTTAACCTAAAGAACTTTTTTAGTATTCCCTGTTTGTATGCAGGTCTTCTGGCACCAAATTCTCTCAACTTTTGTCTGTTTGAAAATATCTTCATTTAATCTTCATTTTTGAAGAATATTTTCATTGGGTATAGAATTCTAGATTTGGCAGGATTTCTCCCCCATACTTTCCGTGCATATAAAGATGTTATTCCATTGACTCTTGGCTTTTAGTGTGCTTAGAAGTCAGAAATTTTTCGTATTCATGCTTCTCTGACTGTTTTGAATATCTCTTCTTTTTCCTTGGTTTTAAGCAGATTAACTATGTGTCTAGTATTGTTTTGTTTTGTATCTACACTACTTGGGATTTGCTTTGCTACTTGAATCTGTGGGTTGATGTGTTTCTCCAGAAAATTTTCAGTAATTATCTTTTTATGTATTTTTCCTGTCTTAATTTTTTGTCCCCTCTCCTTCCGGTACTCCAATGATATATGTATTAGAACTTTTCATATAGTTTCACATCTCTTAGGCTGTTTTTTTTTCCATCTTCTTTTTCATTATTTTCTCTCTCTGCTTTTGTTTGAATAATTTCCTATGGTGCTATGTTCAAGGTTAATGATCCTTTTTTGGGCTTTGTCCAGTCTGCTGATATACCCTAATTTCTTAATTTTGGTTTTAGTTCTTGTATGTCCAGTTTGGTTCTTTTTAGTGATTCCTTTTCTCTGCCGAAATTCTATATCTTTTCACATATTTTTTCTCATCGTATTGTCTATTTTATTTTATACTTTATAAAAGTTATTTTAAAGTTCTTATCTGTTAATTATGATGTCTGGGTTATCTGTGAGTTTGTTTACTGTTTTTTCTTTTGGTCATCAGCTACTTATGACTTATAAGTTTTTGTTTGTTTGTTTGAGAAAGCAGGATTTATTTGAGAGGACAGAAAAGCCCCCACAGGGGGAGGGGACTCGAAGGGGTTGCCCTATAAATTTTGATTATATGTTAAAAATTGTATATAAAGTACTTATTGAGGCTAAACTAGTATTATTTTCCTGCAGAAAAAAACATGTTTTTTCCTCTTTCAGGTAGCTGGGTTGAGTTGCTAATCAATTCAATTAGGAGTGGGCCTAAGTCAGAGTTTTGTTGCAACATTATAGAGCTGTAGTTTACCTCTGATTTCAAATGTTTTTAGATCAAGAATTGTCCTGCTGTATTATAGGCTCTTTGCTCTAGCAGGATTTTGAGATCTAAGTATCCTGAGACTAAACTCTCTATGCCTTTCTTAGCTGTGTCACAGTTTCTTGTGTCACTACATGTTCAATAAAAGCATGGACAAAAAAGGGGGAGAACCAGCTTTGCATTTGGGACTCCTCCAGATTCAAATCTGTTACATAAACTCAAACAATCATTAAAACCTCTATTGGTTTCCTTCTTACTTTAGCAAAGTCATTTTATCTATAGAAGGCCTGATCCAACACTCACCATGTCCAGACCTAGAAAATGTCCCTGGGGTGAAAACAACTGTTGCTTTGTATTTATTTAGGAAAGGCTTACCACTTTCTGAAATGTAGTTCCTTTAGATATATTTGCATCCAAATCACTCCTATATCTTTAAATTTGGAATGCTTTGTTTAGCTTCTCTGTTTATTTCTAGTTACTACAGTGTGAAAATTTGTCTGGCATATCTTTCTATATCCTAACCAAGAGTGGAATTCAGAGAAACACTATTAAGAGGAGTTGTTTTCATGCAGCACACCTAATGCTATGATCACTGATAACTTATCATGGGGGATACTAATATATTAAAAGTATTGTTTCTCCTCTTAATTTGAGAAAAATAAAGCTTTAAGAAATAATTTACCAATATAAGAAGATATAATTTTTTTTACTTGTAAACTGAAAGTCTATACTTGTAAGATTTGTATGACATAATTTATAATATTTTATAGAAATGCATTCCATTTTCTTTTATTTCAGGAATTTTTGGAATGTGCTCATGAAGCCTGCAAAGTACATAATCTTCAGCCTGTTAAATTTTTTCTTGAAAAAATGATTCAGACATATGAAATGATGATTGTTAGACATGGGTAAGATTATAGATTGCTATAGTTAGATTTTTTTATTTTTTATTTTCTTATTTATTTTTAAAGACTGGTTTTGCTCTGCCCCCCAGGCTGGAGTGCAGTGACGTGATTATAACTTACTGTAGGCTCTAGCAATCCTTCCACTTTAGCCTCCCAAGTAGCTGGTGCTCCAGGTGTGTGCTACCACACCCAACTAAGTTTTAAAACAAAATTTGTAGAGACGGAGTCTTACTGTGTTATCCAGGCTAGTCTCAAACTTCTGGCCTCAAGTGATCCTGCTACCTTAGCCTCCTGAGTTCCTGGTTAGACATTTTCTAATTAAACTGTTAAAACAACTAATTCATGAACCAAAGCCTCAGCAAACTGAATATTACATAATCTAGGGAGCAAACAACTCCAAAAGGCAAACGCTTACTTCTCTTTTGTACTACATGTCCAGTAAGGATTGGTAAGAAGTGCTCATGCAGTGACCCATTACTAATAAGCACCACAATTTGCCCTTTGGATCATCTAATATGTTATTCACTCTCCTTCATGTATATAAAATATACTTTTCCCTTCTCAGAGAGACAACCTAAAAGTTTCAATCAATAAATGAACCAGACTCAAAGTTCAGAATCTCTAGGTGATACATGGTAGTCTTTATATCATATCTGGAAGTAGTTTCACTTGATCCCATGACCTAGAATCTAGAAAGACAGGTTATTATCCCTCCATGCAGCAAGTATACAACTGTGAGTTTACCAGAACAAGATTACCAGAACAAACACTCCCAGTCAGAAATTGGAGAATAGGAGACATAGTCAACACTGCTCTGTAACAATTCTGAAATCCAGCTGGGCATGTGAGGGTTCCAAAGATGGACTGACTGTGAAACTAATAGAGTTTAAAGTTCAGGACCTCTCACTTGTAGGACCACATCCAAGGGGCATTTTGTATACATGATTTGTTATATAGGATCTCATTAAAGTGACACTTTGTATTCATGATTTTATATACATATTTTCTTAGAAAGCCCCCCCCCCCCCAGTTATATAAACATAAGGTCCCTTAAAACCTGAATCTAGTTCTGCTTGATTTTGCTCCCTGGAAGGGTCTTTTCAGTTAATTTTTCTCCATAGGCCTTGGTTTAACCTTCTGAGAGGTCTTTCCATTCCCATTTTCTTACCTGGCCATGTGTGGACAATAAAAATAATGTCCTTGGGAACTGAGAAATGTTCTTAACCTACTTCCTGCCTGTAGAAAGTTGAGATCTCAATAATCATAATTTTTTTAAAGGTAGTGTTACCAAAATGTAAAATTTCAAACATATACAAAAATAAGAGGAATAGTACAATCAATCATCATGCTTCATTACCCAAGGTTCATTTTAAGTCTTGAACATTCACATATGTGTTAGGCTAGATTTATGGTTATTTGGTCAGTAAACTCCTTCAAAAGCTTATTCTGCTTTTTATGTATTTGGTTCCAGGTAGCTCCGTGTGCCCATAGCCATAACTACTGTCCTTATTGTCATATCTTTTACAATTTCCTTGTAGTATCCTTGACCCTATCAGGCTTAGTTTAGGGGACCACAATCTTAGTCTATTTTCTTTCTTTTTTCTTTTTTTTAAACTTTTTTGAGTCGGGGTCTCACTCTGTCACCCAGACTGGAGTGCAGTGGCACAATCATGACTTACCACAGCCTCAAACTTCTGGTCTCAAGTGATTCTTCTGCCTCAGCCTCCCGAGTAGCTAGGACTATAGGTGTATACCACCACACCTAGCTAATCTTTTGATTTTTTGTAGAAATTAGGTCTTGCTATATTGCCTAGGCTGGTCTTGAACTTCTAGGCTCACGTAATCCTCCCCATCAGCCTCCCAAAATGCTGGGATCACAGGCATGAGTCACTGCACCCAGCCTCTTAAGTCTATTTTCCATGAATTATTTTATCCTTCTGAAGTGATTACTAGGAACCATATTAATTCTTCATAAGTTTTAACAATGTGATACAATGGCCCTACCCTTGATTTGATCCTTGATACTATGCTGAGTTTTGATCAATCTTTTCTTAATTTTATCTATTACCAATTGGGGACGAAAATAAGTTGCCTCATTCAATCCTATAAGTCCCTGAATCTGGTCTCTCTCTCTATTCTTTTCATTCCTGTTTACAAACTGGCCATTTTTTTTCTGGACTCAGTTCTTTCTTATAATTCCTCATTAGATGATGTCATTAGCTGCAATATATACTAATTGCATTCTGTTCACTATCCTTTTCCCCGAAACTCCCAATTTCATGAGGTACATTATCTATCTTCTGGGTTATCTCAAGAAATAAACTTACCAAATATTTCATCACTGCATAACAATAACTGCTGATATTTTAGCCTCTGGTAGCAGTTAATTTGGCACCTATGACCCAACCTCTCAGACAATGCCACATATTTTAGCCTTTTTAAAATTATGGCAAGGACACTTTTCCTCTCTTCTAGGTACCAATTTCTGTTATTAAGGGTGGGCTAGACTATTCCCTAGGAGCAATAAACATCCAAATCATAGTGACTTAAAAAACAAAGATTTATTTCTCATTTATAGTGTGTGTTCATTATAGGTTCGCAGGGATGCTCCGCTTATCATAATCACACAGGGCCCCAGGCTGTTAGAGCAGTCACTGCCTCAATATTGTGGGGCACAGCCATGCTGGAGAGAAAAGAGAGAGCTCTGTAAGGTCTCCGGCTGGCATTTATCCTCCCATAATTTCTATTTATTACTCTTTGGTTAGAGGTAGTCACCTAGTCTTTTCATAAGAGGACCAGGAACTCTATATATGTCAGGAAGAAGGAGATCCAGAAATATTTGGAAAAGAGCACTAATAATTGGTATGGCAAATGAAGACTTTGGAAATTAAAATCTTTCCCACTCCTCTCCTTAGGGCGCCTCAAGTCTCAGTTTTTTATTTTAAGAGTATACAGATAATAAGTTTTCATTTTCATTTGGAGATTTGTAATTATATTCCCTTATGGAGAAAATAACATTAATATGAAGTATGTGATTTAGAGTCAATCAGTTTAAAAGTTAAATGTGTTTTCCTCATGTCTGAGAAAAATTCTTATGATTTCAAAAATTATGTATAGTAATTATTACAAGATAAATTTCTATATACCGGCATACATAAGTTTACCTTTTTGTTAGAATCTTATTGTATAATTACTGTTTTTCTGTAATAGTTTTATGTTAGTAGGAGAGCCTTTTGCTGCTAAGACAAAAGTTCTGCACATGCTGGCTGATACTCTAACTTTTATGAATGAACGTGGCTATGGAGAGGAAGAAAAGGTTATTTACAGAACTGTAAACCCAAAATCTATTACTATGGGCCAACTTTTTGGACAGTTCGACCCAGTGTCTCATGAGGTAATCTACAATATAAACATTTTCAACTCTGTTATTGATAATGCACATTAAACCAAGAAATTTGAAATGTTTTCATAGTTTCTCTGCCAAATCCAGTTTTATGAAGAGAACTTTCCAACTCTCTTTTTTTTCTTTAGTGGACTGATGGTATTGTGGCTAACACCTTTAGAGAATTTGCCTTATCAGAAACACCTGATCGGAAATGGGTTGTATTTGATGGTCCCATTGACACTTTGTGGATAGAGAGCATGAACACAGTATTGGATGATAATAAAAAGGTAAATCATCATGATTAAAAGAAAAGCAGATTCAGCCATGATTAAGCAATCTTTTTGTGTTCAACAACTAATCAATTAGGACTACACATTTAAAATGAAGGATGCAGCAAGTTGAATAGGTTTACAAATTATTATTTCAATGAAAACTATGCTATAGTAAGTTTTTTGCTTATTTTTATTATTATTTTTGAGTTGGAGTCTCACTTCATTGCCCAACCTGGAGTGCAGTGACATACTCACGACCCCCCAGTGTCGATCTGCTGGGCTCCTTCTGGTGATCCTTTCGCCTCAGCCTTCCAAGTAGCTACCATGCTGGGCTAATTTTTGATTTATTGTAGAGATAGGTCTTGCCAAGTTGCCTGGGCTGGTCTCGAAGTCGCGGACTCAGGCAATCCACTTGCCTCAACCTCCCAAAGTGCTGGGATTACAGACTGAGCCACCAAGCCCGGTCTAATTTTTTTTATAGAGTGAAAATATATTGATTAAAACTACTGCTTTAGGACTGGGCAAAGTGACTCATGCCTATAACCCCAGCTCTTTTGGGAGCATTGCTTGAGCCTAGGAGTTTGAGGTTGTAGTGAGCTATAATTGCCACTGCACTCCAGCCTGGGATGACAGAGCTGGATCATATCTCTAAAAAATAAAAGTCTTTCCACAAGAGGGTCAAGAACTCTATATGTGCCAGGAAGAGGAGATCCAGAAATAAACAAACAGAACTACTATGTTAACCGGAAGGCATAGTAATCTACTATGAATAAGTTGTTAAGTGACTTCAGTTTTTATGGTTTCTTGTTGAATATTTTAGGAGAAAATAAGAAAGACCTAATTCCTTTTAAAAATATTGAATTCTTTAGTACTTATATGTAATGTATTACCTTAGAAACTATGAGATATATGAAAGAACTAGAAAATGAAAATCTTCTAATATTTATTTATTTAATTTTTTTGAATCAGGATCTCACTCTGTTGCCCAGGCCAGAGTGCCCTGGCACAATCACAGCTCACTGCTGTCTGGACCTTGTGGGCTCAGGCAATCTTTCTGCCTCAGCCTCCTGAGTAGCTGGGTCTATAGGCACCACCATGCCCGGCTAATGTTTTGTAGAGATAAGGTTTCACTATGTTGCCTAGGATGGTCTCAAACTCCTGGCCTCAAGTGATCCTCTCACCTGGGCCTCCCAAAGTATTGGGATTACAGAAGTGAGCCACCACACCCAGTTCTAATATTTAATTTAGGAGTAACGTACATAAAGTATAAAATGTACACTAATTTTAAGTATAGATTCTATGATTTTGTAAATGTTATGTATACACTCACATAACCATCACCCAAATGAAGATACATACAATTTCCAGCACATTACATGTTTTACTCATGGACCTCTCAGTCTATATACCTTCCTCTAGAGGTAATCACTCTTCAAACTTCTGTGGTAAATTCATTTTGCCAGTTCTTGGTCTTCATGTAAATGGAATCATACTTTTTAGTGTTTTTCTTTTAAAAAAAAAATCAATATACCTGTGATATTCATATTGTTGTAGTTTAATTTTATTTGTTGTGAGGGACCCCCAAAATCCTGGAATTATCTTTTGGGGTGCAGGTCCTTTGTAGTACACTTGGGCGTTGTTCCTCTGTACCAAATAGTCAACAAAAGTTGATTTGCAGAAGAAACATTCTGAATTGTGGCAAGCAGGTGATTGGTTCTTCCACCATGACAGCACAACTGCCCACACTGTGCTAAGCGTTCATCAGTTTTGGACCAAAAACATTATGACCCCAGTGTCCCACCCTCCCTATTTACCTGATCTCACCCTGAGCAATTTTTTTTTGTTTCCGCAATGAGAAAATTCCTCAAAGGGAAACATTTTGCCAATGTGAAAGAGGTGAAACAAAAAATAATAGAAGCACTAAAAGGCATAAAAATTGTTGAGTTAAAAAACTGTTTTGAGCAGTGGAAAAAGCACCTTGATAGGTGTATTGCATCAAATGGAGAGTACTTTGAAAGTGACTGAAGTTTAAACATGTAAGAATAAATACAAAATTTTTGATAAATAAATTCTAGGTTTCTTGGGTCCTCCCTTTATAGACATAAAATTATTCCTTATATGTCTGTATTAATATTCTATTATATGAATATATAACAATTTATTTCCATAGTTACATGAAATGACTAGACTGCTAAATAAGCACATTCATTTAATTAGCACTCAAAGATATAAAGATATATCCATGTAAAGATGGTTGGCTATTTATTCATATTTGTTCTTTCATCCATTTAGTAATACTAGTTGAACTGAGGGGAGAAATTAAACAGATAAGTAGCAGTGATGATTCAGAAGAGAGGGGCTAATCAGTAGAGTGAAGTCAGGATTCAGAGCCATGTGGAAGGATTGTCTCATATTGTATGCTAGGGAATGATGAAAGGACAATTATAGATATAGGTAAGTGTATGGATTTGATAGTGGAAGTTTGAAGGCAAATCCTCGTGATAATTTCTCTTTTCTTCATGAAGTGATAGACCTTGATTCTTTTTAGAATTGAGTAGAAATGAAGAGTAGATTGCCTGAGCCCGGGGTTCGAGACCCGCCTGGGCAACTTGGCAAGACCTCATCTCTACAATAAATCAAAAATTAGCCGGTCGTGGTAGCGCGCACCTGTAGTTCCAGCTACAGGCAGAAGGATTGCCGGAGCCCGGCAGGTCGAGGCTGCCTGGCCGGGAGCGGCCAGTACACTCCAGTCTGGGTGACAGAGTGAAGACTCCAACTCAAAAAAAAAAAAAAAAAAAAAGAAATGAAGAGTTTTTGAATAACCATTATGGAAAATGGAAAAGAGATCTACTTAGGAAAACATAGATGCATATCTGGGTAGTACTGAGAGCCTGAGTGAATTGAAAACCAGAAGTTATTATTCGTAGTACTATGGTCTGCCTTTGTGAGATATTCTCTACCAGTCTAAGCAGGTTGGGTTTAGGTGTAGGTAGTGTTGCAAGCCTGGAAATACAGTAAGACTTCACAGATATTTACATGGGAATGGTAAAAACATTGGACCACCATAGGACGAAGCTGCCTAATGGAGGAAGTGAAAACAGTAGGAATCTGAAATTCCCTGTGAAAATAAAGAGCAAGTGTAGTAGGAGACCGTGATCAGGAGAACTGGGTGGACTGGAGTCTGTGGGCAGAGACTAAGATGCTTGAATGTAATAATATTTCAGAACTATGTAGTTTTCTGTGCAAGAAGGTCCCAAATATATAAAGTGGATGACTGGAGTGGAGCAAGGGAAAAATAAGTGAAGATGAGGTAGTCAGGGATTTGAGGGGTTTCCATGTTGAGATGTTCATCCTTGTAAACACTGAATAAGGCCAGGCCAGAGTAATAGTAGAGAAGGAGACTGTACCAAACGCCAAAGACTAGCTAATGAATAGGAGAATCCTTGGGTGCTGGTGGGTTGCAGCAAAAAGTGGGGTTGTCAAAGGAGCAGGGGTTACACTTGGAGTGCAGTAAAGATAGTTGGGAAACAACACAGGGAAATGAGGAAAATGCTGATTCTACCTTTCAAATTTGTGGCAAGTAGAAGGAGAATGTTTGCTGAAATAATCTGCTAGAATAAAAATATTCTAAACCAACACTGTCCAATAGAACTTTTTGTAATGCTGGAAATATCTGCACTGTCTGACAAGGTAGTCACATGTGGCTACTGAGCATTTCAAATGTGGCTTAGTACAATTGAAGAACTGAATTTTAAGCGTTATTTAATTTAATTTTAATTAGTTAAAATTAAATATAAATAGCCACATATAGCTAGTACCGTACATATTAGACAGTGTAGACAATGGTCTAGTACATATCTAGACCATTCATTTATTTTACAGCTAAGGAATTGAATGTAGAAATGCTAAATTCTTTATTGCTGACATGTAACTAGATGGGGCAAAACTGGGACTAAATGATTGTAGAAGCAGAGAGGAAATACCGAAAAATAAATGTAGAGGAAGAATTTAAGAGGCTTACTAATGAAATTAATTTAGAGTACCAACAGCTAATAATAATTACTAACAGTTAAGTTAAAATTAATGATAGAACTGGTGCAGTGGTTTATGCCTGTAATCCTAGCATTTTGGGAGGATCGCTTGAGTCTAGGAGTTTGAGGTTATAGTGAGCTATGATTGTATCACTGCACTCCAGCCTGGGTGACAAAGTGAGACCCTGTCTCTAAGAAAAAAAAAGTAAATGATAATTCCAAAGGTACAAGCCAAGGAGATTGAGAAAGTAGGATAGCTTGAATAATAATAGACATGATAAAATTTGAAGGAAAGGAAACAGTTTGATAAATTCAGTTTTTAATATATTTGATAAAAGAAGTAATGTTTTAGATTAAAAGACACCAAGGAGACATAACAAACTCAGTGCATAGTCCTTGATTGAATTTTGATTTGAATAAATCAGTTGAAAAAACATTTCTGGTACAACTGAGGAAATTTGAGTACTGACTGAGTATTAGATAGTATTAACGAATTATTGTTAGTTTTGTTAGGTGTGATAATGTTATTGTGGTTATGTGGGAAATGCTCTTATTTTTTTGGAGACACTCAGCATTTGAATGTGAAATGCTATGTTATGTGTACAACTCTTTAAAATATTTATTAAAAAGACAATGCCAATATGGCAAAAATGTTAACACTTTTTTTAAATCTAGGAGATGAATATATGAGTACTCATTGTGCTAGTCTCTATTTTCTATTTTTTAATTAATAAAAAAGACTTATGGTAACTATAAATTCAGGAATATTTCATGTGATTTTATTAATAATGATAACTTATATTTGTATAGGATTTTATAGTTTTTTACTTTGTCTTGTAATTCCCTTTACTGTAATACTGAGTGATATTTGATTCCTGATTTATAGATTAAGAGACTGAGTCTCAGAGATGTTAAGTATTTGCTTACCTAGTAATAATTGACAGGCCTAGAATTAAGATTTCCTGGTTTCCATTCTAATTCTTATTCCATCGTATCACAGGAGATACTTTATCTTATATATAGATAGACCTGGTGCAGCCTTATCTTATACACAAAATAAATTTTTATACACAGAGTAAACTTTTATCTGAGAAATTTGAAATTAAAAAAATGATTGAAAAATATTTGCCTTTAGCTTTGTCTTATGAGTGGAGAAATCATTCAGATGTCCCCCCAGATGAGCCTGATCTTTGAAACAATGGACCTTTCCCAGGCCTCAGTAAGTTCATACTTTAATATAATAGTAATTTCTTTATTTGTTTGTTCATTTATTCCTTGTTCATACATTAATTTAGTCAATAAGTATTTTTATTGTATGTCAGCAAATGGCTTAGGCAAAGATGAATAAGATGCAGTATATGCTTGTTTATGGAGGATGAACGCATGCTAACAAATAATTCCAATACATAACTACATGTAAATGCTTGAAGAGCTTGGAGGGGAGTGAGTATTCGTGAGGGCTATGGGTAGAGAGGGACAGATAGAGGAGGACCATGGAAGGTGACTGAGCATTCAATCTGGTTTTGTGGAAGATGTAAGACTTCTCCAGGGAGATTGACTGGGTATGATAAGATAATGTTTAAAGGCATGGAACCATGACATGACTGGGAAACCGAACTGAAAATAGTTTTCCTTATAGGGAACATCTAGTGTATGTGAGACTGTAGAGGCAGACCGGAGTCAGATCATGAAGGGCCTTATAAGTCATGCCAAGAAATAGTTGATAATTGCCAGGTACTATTGTTATAAAAGCAACAGTGGAAAAAGAAAACTTGTCTTTTTTCTCTAGCCCGCCACTGTAAGCCGTTGTGGCATGATTTATTTGGAACCCTCACAGTTAGGATGGGAACCACTTGTGTCTTCATGGTTGAGTTCACTGAAAGGACCTCTATGTGAACCAAAATATCAAGCTCTTCTGAGAGGACTTTTTGACTGGTTAATACCACCCTCTTTAAAGATTCGTAAGAAAAAATGCAAGGTAACCCTATAATTCTCTGACTTACTCAAAAGTTTCTTTCGTTCCCATTCAACTTGATGAAGTCTAAAGTTGCAATGGTAGGGTGGATAACTAAAACCAATTTCTCCTTACACATTTAGTATCCACCTTTGGTTTTTTATTGCTCAAGTTACTATTGAATAACCTAGAGGTAAAATTTTCTTCAGCTTAACTATTTGTATAAAACTATAGTGTCTAAAGCTTTAAAAAATCCCAATTACTTTTCATATTTTAAAATATTTAGGCAGTTGAGGGAAACTGCCGGGGGTGAGGGGCACATCTCATCAACAAGGGTAACTGCATAATGAACATTTGTATACTTAACCCTGAATTGGACCCCACATCTTTAAAATAAAAACTTTAAAAATTAAAATAAAATATTTTAAATATGTACCTTGAAAAACTCATGTGCATATTTAGTGAATTTATGAGCTATTTAGTATTTTATGAGAAAGCTTTATATATTGTATTAGTTTCCTAGGGCTGTCAACAAATTATCATAAATTTGGTGGCTAAAACAATAGAAATTTATTCTCTCACAGTTTTGGAGGCCAGAAGTCTGAAATCAAGATGTTGGTAGGACTGAACTTCCTTAGAAGCTCAAAGTGAGACTTTTTCCTTACCTTTTTCAGATCCTGGTGGATTCAAGGTGTTCCTTGGTTTATGGCTATATAACTCTAATCTCTTCCCCTATCTTCACATGGCCCTCTCCTCTGTCTCTCCTTCGTGTGATACTTTTAATGATAGGTTCTTAAATTTAGCACCCAACATATAATCCAGAAGGATGTACTCATCTTGAGATCTTTAATGTAATTATATCTTCAAAGACCCTTTTCCAAATAAGATCACACTCATAGGTTCCTGGGATTAGAACATAGAAATGCCTTTTGGGGACCATGATTTCAACCATTACCACCACCACTTGCCCCCAACCCACGCACACATTAGTTACTTACACATAAATAGATATGTTGAGATAGTAAAAAGAGCTATTCAGTAGATTTATCATCCTAAAATATTATTTTAGGGATAGAAAAAGTATACTGCATTATAGAAAAAAATGAACAATTCCACTTTATGAAGATTCTATATAGTGTCTTCATAAAAAAATATATAGATAAATTCTTTTGCAATTTTAAAACTCTAGTACTATATGTTGTTAACAATACAAAATAGGTCCCATCTTTCCAGATACAGAATAATGGATTTTCTTCTCATAGATTACTCTGGTATTTTCTACATCTAGTCAGCCCCCAACATTATTGATTTTCCCTTCTTTTTTTTTGAGTTGGAGTCTCACTCTGTCGCCCAGACTGGAGTGCAGTGGCCGCTCCCGGCCACCACAGCCTCGACCTGCTGGGCTCCGGTGATCCTTCTGCCTCAGACTTCCGAGTAGCTGGAATTACAGGCGCGCTACCACGCCCGGCTAATTTTTTGATTTATTATAGAGATGAGGTCTCGCCTGCCCAGGCGGGTATCGAACCTGTGGGCTCAAGCAATCCACTCACCTCAGCCTCCCAAAGGCGCGGGATTACAGGCTGAGCCACTGAGCCCGGCTGATTTTCTCTTCTTCATAACATTTCTGTCTGTCCTCTTCTCTCCATCTCTGTTCTTGCAGCATCCTCCTCACTTCACTCTTCCTGTTTTAGTACCTCAATTCTGACCTTCATCAGTTCCTAATCTGAATCAATACAATAGAGCTACTCTGGTCTAAAGTCTATACCCTGCTACCAGAAGATTCCAAAACACAAATTCTCTCTGTTTATTCCTTTATTTAAAACTGTCTATTGGAATCCTCTTCCTTTTACAATTAAATCCTTAATACTCATGCAATCAATAAACCCTTTCAGGATCTGACCCCTATCTGCTTTTCAGGCCTCATTTTTTGCCATTCCTTCTTCATACCCTATTTTTACATCCTACAGGATTCTCTTAATAGTCTCCTCACCTTTTCAAGGATTCTGCCTCTTATTTCCATATCACCCAGCTTGTTACATAGGTATAATGTGTTTTTTCCATAAATGTTTGTTGAATAAATAAATTAATGAATGGCTGCTTAAGACTTTATTTTTGCTATCCTTAGAACATTGTTTATTCTCTTACAGTAGCTAGTTTTCATTTGTCAGAGAATTTAGAATAAAAATATTTTATGTTCAATTATAAAATTGTTATGTACAGAGTTGTATGATATATTATGGCAAACTAAAATATTTGAGAAATGTTTTTTATCATGCCTATGCCTATTTAAATTCTTTATGTTTAATTATTATGAAAACCTCATGAGGCTGCGCATGGTGGTTCACACCTGTAGTCCCAACACTTTGGGAGATTGAGGCAGGAGGATGCTTGAGGCCAGGAGTTTGAGACCAGTCTGGACAACGGAGAAACCCATGTCTACTAAAAAAAAAAAAAAAAAATTAGCAAGGTGTGGTGGCCTACACCTGTGGTCCTAGCTACTCAGAAGGCTGAGGAAGGAGAATGCTTAAACCCAGGCGTTTGAGGCTACAGTGACCTATAATCATGTCACTGCACTCCAACCTGGGCAACAGAACAAGATCCTCACCCCCCCCAAATAAATAAATGGCATTTTGAAAACCACATATGTATTTAACAGTTTTTAAAAGTAAAGTGTTTATCTTCTTTTATTCTCTAAATTAGATGAAAGTTGAGAAAAGTATAATATTCTTTTCACTTTGCAGGAACTGATTCCTACAAGCAATAGCAATGTGGTTGTATCGCTCACACGTCTCTTTGAAGTACTACTCTGTAATGTAGTAGAAAATGATCCTACTAGCAAACACGTTCATGTTTGGATTATGGTTGGTTTTATACTTAATATGGGTTTTGAAAATATACTTCTGGAAAATTATATTTGTATTGCAAAAGACATTATAAGATCCAGAACTATTTTTTGGTGAGCATAGAAAGAATAACTGAAGACACTAAAGTTGCCCTGACATACTATTCTGACATTAAAAAGTACTTTAAAGAAAGTAAAATATGGCACAACAAACCAAAACTACCCTATTTTTTATGAAGATTATAATTTTTTTTTCTTTTTTTTTTAATCAATATTTTTTATTATGATTTTGTGGGGTACAGTTAAGGGTTAGGTGTACAATTACGTTTCATTCAGGCACCCTGTTGATAAGAGGTGTTTCCCCATCCCCAGACAGATATTTGCGACTGTTAATCCCATTCACCTCCCCCCCATAGTTTCCCAGTACCGTCAGTCATTTTCTTATAGTATTACATTGGATGTTCAAGGTCCATTATATGAGTGAGAACATGTGATACTCAGATCTTTGTTTCTGTGAGAGGTCACTCAGTATTATAGACTCTAGTTCCATCCAGGTTGCTGCGAAATTCATGATTTTGTTCTTTTTTATGGCTGCGTAGTATTCCATCGTGTATATGTACCACAGTTTTTTAATCCAGTCCTCTTTTGATGGGCAGCATGGTTGTTTCCAGGTTCTTGCTATTGTGAACAACGCTGCAATAAACATACGTGTGCAGGTATCTTTTTTATAGAGTGATTTGAGGTCTTCAGGGTATATTCCCAGTAGGGGGATTGCAGGGTCATATGGAAGGTCTATTTTTAGAGCGTTTAGGAATCGCCACACTGCTTTCCACAGAGGTTGTACTAGTTTACACTCCTACCAACAGTGTAGAAGTGTTCCCTTTTCACCACACCCTCTCCAGCAGCTGTTATTTTTTGAGTTGTTGATAATTGCCATTCTAACTGGAGTTAGGTGGTATCTCAGTGTGGTTTTGATTTGCATCTCCCTGATGATTAGTGAGGTTGAGCATTTCTTCATGTGTTTGTTGGCTGCTCGGATGTCTTCTTTTGTGAAACGTCTGTTCATATCTTTTGCCCATTTTATAATGGGGTTGTTTGTTTTTTTCTTTTCAGCATGTTTGAGTTCCTTGTAGATCCAGGATGTTAAGCCTTTGTCAGACCTAGAGTTGACAAATACTTTTTCCCAGTCTGTAGGCTGTCTCCCTGCTCTCTTGATGGTTTCTTTGGCTTTGCAGAAGCTTGTCAGTTCAATAAGGTCCCACTTGTCTATCTTCTCTCTTATGACCTGTGGGTTTCAGGTTTTGTTCAGGAATTGGATGCCAGTTCCAATTTCCATGAGGGTATTTCCTTCCTTTTCTAAGGTTCTTATGGTTTGAGGTTTTACATTTAGGTCTCTGATTCATTTGGAGTTAAACTTTGTGCATGGGGATAGATAGGGGTCTTGTTTCAATCTACTGCATGTGGTCAGCCAGTTTTCCCAGCACCATTTACTGAATAGGTTTTCCTCTCCCTAGTGGTAGGTGGTGGGGGCTTTGTCGAAGATGAGTTGGTTGAGAAATTGAGGTTTTGCTTCTGGAATCTCAATTCTATTCCATTGATCTATATGCCTGTTCCTGTACCAATACCAAGCTGTTTTGATGATTGTAGCTTTATAGTAAAGTTTGAAGTCTGGTAATGTGATACCACCTGCTTTTTTTTATTTTTTTTGGTGAGGATTGTTCTGGCTATTCTTGGACGTTTGTGTTTCCATATGAATTCCTGTGTTATTTTTTCCAGGTCTGAGAAGAATGTTGCTGGTAATTTAATGGGTATTGCATTGAATTTGTAGATTGCCTTAGGTAAGATGAACATCTTCACAATGTTGATTCTTCCAATCCATGAGCATGGGATATTTTTCCACTTGTTCGTGTCAGCTTTGATTTCTTTGAGCAGTGTTTTGTAATTTTCATTGTAAAGGTCTTTCACGTCTCTGTTTAGGAAGATGCCAGGGTATTTCATTTTTTTTTGGCTATTGTGAATGGAATTGTGTTTTTTATTTGGGTTTGTGTTTGTTTATTATTGGTGTGGAGAAATGCGATTGTCTTTTATACATTTATTTTGTATCCTGACACTTTGCCAAAGGCCCTTATCAATGTAAGGAGGCTTTTGACAGATTCTCTTGGGTTTTCAAGGTACACAATCATATCATCTGCAAAGAGAGGTAACTTGACTTCCTCTTTTCCTATTTGGATACCCCTGATTGCCTCCGTTTCTCTGATTGCTCTAACCAGGACTTCCAATACTATGTTGAACAGGAGGGGTGAGAGTTGGCATCCTTGTCTAGTTCCAGTTTTCAGGGGAATTGTTTCCAATTTTTGTCCATTTAGGAGTATGCTGGCTATGGGTTTCTCGTGAATGTCTTTTACTATTTTGAGGTATGTTCCCCATATGCCTAGATGTTCAAGGGTTTTTATCAAGAAGGGGTGCTGGATTTTATCAAAGGCTTTTTCTGCATCTAATGATATGATCATGTGGTTTTTGTTTTGACATCTGTTGATGAATTTAATTACATTTATGGTTTTACGAATGTTGAACCAGCCTTGCATCCCAGGAATGAATCTACTTGGTCATGGTGGATGATTTTTGAGATGTATTGCTGAATCCGGTTTGCTAGGATCTTGTTGAGAATTTTAGCATCTATGTTCATCAAAGATATTGGCCTGTAGTTCTCTTTCTTTGTTGGATCTTTACCTGGCTTGGGTATCAATGTGATGTTGGCTTCGTAAAATGATTTGAGGAGAGTTCCATCTTTTTCAATCGCCTGGAATACTCTCAGTAGGATTGGTATCAGCTCCTCCTTAAATGTCTTGTAGAATTCTGCTGGAAAGCCATCTGGTCCAGGGCTTTTTTTTGTAGGAAGTTTTCTTATTACATAGTCAATTTCCTTGATTGTTATTGGTCTATTTAGGGTCTCAATTTCTTCTTGTTCCAACCTAGGTAGGTTGTGTGATGTCAGAAAGTCCTCCATTTCCTTAAGGTTTTCAAGTTTGTTTCCATACAAGTGTACGTAGTATTCTCTAATGATCTTTTGTATTTCTTCAGGGTCAGATGTGACTTCATCTTTTGTGTTTATGATTGTGTTTATTTGGTTTTTTTCTCGTTTTTTCTTGGTCAGTCTAGCTAGGGGACCATTGATCTTGTTTATCCTTTCGAAGAGCCAGCTTTTTGTTTCATTAATTTTTTGTATTATCTTTTTGTCTTCTATGTCCTGGATTTGGGCTTTTATTTTGGTGATCTGGATTCTTCTGCTGAAATTAGGGTTTTTGTGGTCTTGCTTTTCCAGCTTCTTTAGGTGGCTTGTTAGGTTGTGAATTTCTGTTCCTTCCATTTTCTTCATGTGTGTTTGTAGGGATATAAATTCCCCTCTTACTACAGCTTTCAGGGCATCCTACAGATTTGGTAAGATGTTTCTTTATTTTCATTTGTTTCCAGGTATCTTTTGATCTCTGTTTTGATTTCATCATTGACCCAAGAGTTGTTTAGGATCATGCTGTTTAGTGTCCATGTCTTTGTGGGTTTTGGGGAGACTTTGTTGGTGTCAATGTTTATTTTTATTCCACTGTGGTCCGAGAAGGTACATGGTAGAATTTCAGTCCTTTTAAATTTGCTTATGCTTGATTTATAGCCGAGTATGTGGTCGATCTTATGTTCCATGTGGTGATGAGTAGAATGTGTATTCTGTGGTCTTTGGATGGAGTGTTCTGTAGGTATCAATTAAGTCCATTTGGTCCAAAGTCACATTGAGGTTCCAGATCTCATTGCTGATTTTTTGTCCTGATGATCTGTCTAGGGTTGTGAGTGGGGTATTAAAGTCCCCAGTTATGATAGTGTTAGAGTCAATATCTTTCTTTAGTTTTCCAAGAAGTTGCTTTATGAAAGTTGGCGCACCTATGTTGGCTGCATATATGTTTAGGATAGATATTTCTTGTTGATGGATTGAGCCTTTTATCATTATGTAGTGGCCTTCTGTATCTTTTTTGATTTTTGATAGCTTGAAGGGTATTTTGTCTGAAATTAAGATCGCTACTCCTCCTTTCTTTTGTATTCCGTTCACCTGAAAGTTTGTTTTCCATCCTCTTACTTTGAGTCTGTGGGTGTCCTTTCTAGTGAGGTGAGTCTCTTGAAGGCAATAGATTGTTGCCTGATGATATTTTATCCATTTTGCCATTCTATGTCTTTTCAGTGGTGCATTTAGTCCATTCACATTTAGGCTAATAATTGAAATGCAAAAGTTGATCCCTGTCATAAGGTTCTTACAGAGTTGTTCCTGTTTGTTTGTTGTCTTTCTTTGGGTTTTGGAGTTGGTTCATGTGTATTTTTAATCTTTTGCCTGTACTCTTGTGAAGAATGTTGTTGTTCTTTTATCTTTTTCTTCTGTGTTCAGTACTTTCTTAAGTGTTTCTTGTAGAGGTGGTCTGGTGGCAGCGTAGGTTCTTAGGGATTGGATATCTGGAAAAGATTTCAATTCACCCTCACTAATGAAGCTTAGTTTGGCTGGGTAGGTTATTCTTGGTTGAAATTGTTTCTTTTAGAATTTTGAAGATAGGGCTCCAGGCTCTCCTAGCCTGAAGTGTTTCTGTGGATAAATCTGCTGCTATTCTAATTGGTTTTCCCTGGTAGGTAGTCTGGCCTTTTTCTCCTGCTGCCTTTAGGATTTTTTCTTTTATAGCTACTTTGTTTAGGTGAATTATTATGTGTCTGGGAGTTGGTCTTCTCATTTGTTGTCTTGCAGGGGTTCTCTGAATCTCTTGTGTTTGAATTTTTTCATCCTTGATGAGATGAGGGAAGTTTTCTTGAATGATTTCATGAAATGTTTGTTCCAGTGTGGCTTCTGTTTCTCTCTCTGCCTCAGGAAGCCCAGTTACTCTTAGGTTTGGTCTCTT